GGCCAAACAAAGTATTTTCGCTTTCGCAACGAAATACACAGCGTCTTCACAACATGGCGGAGGCGGCAACAATAAAGTTACGCCTTCTTTCTTTGCGTGAACATTTGGGCTGCGTTATGCAAATCTTCCCACACAGTGACGTAGACGTGGGGGCGTGTTAGAACGAGCCATTTTAGGAGGGCGTGGACCTGTCTTAACTTTTATAAAGAATATCTTTTTGCGTTTGAGACTTTAGTCTTTGCAACTTTAGGGATCTTATCTATTCACGAACAGCTTGTAACACTCCAAAGATAAAGGAAAACTTGAAATCGCATCATATGACCCCTTTAAAGCCACGTCAATCAAACACTTTAGAACTGTACTAAGCCACTTCCACAATGAATAGCACGTCCTGTACTTTCTCATTCCGCATGCCACTTATGTACAAACAATGCAACAAGCCAAAACAATCTGGAATTGTAAAAAAAATTTCTCTATAACTATCTTCGCAAAAGAATGTTACAAATTGCAAAAGTCATTTTTAACAGTTGAACTGAGTCCTAATCTGACAAATTAATTGATTACTCACTGTGTGCGGTATGACGCTGAAGAAAAAAAACAGTATTGTGATGAAATCAATGATGGTGCATATTTTGCATCTTTATTGCAATCCTTTTTTTTTTTTTTTTTAACGTCTTTGGAGAACCAAACATCTATTCAAAGCACTTTCACCAGACAACAGCAGTAACAACTCACTTTTTCAGGCCGCACCCACGATGCCCTGGGCTCCGGTTATTGTCATTGTCATCAAAATCATTGTCGTCGTCATGGTAATCGTCGTCCTTCTCAGAGCTGCCACGGCGGTTCCGGATGTGCAGGGGGACGTAACCAGGCGTGGGTCCAAACAATTTCAACTCACCCTGACCCAAGAGACTCTTTTCTCCACAGTAGCAGAAGGCACAGAGCTTTTCTCTGAGGGACACGAGAAGAGATAAGAGAAATGACTTTTCAGACTTTCAACTATTCGATTAGAAACATAATCCACGTAAACATAAGTACACAAATGCAGACATGAATGCCTGGCCAGCATTGCAAGTGCATGCTTCCATTGTGCATGCTTACTATATAGTGCGATGCTAAGAATGCAATGTGCAACTTGCGATATTATGAATTCCATTGACACATTTTATATGGCAAAGAAAACTGAATTTGACCTTTCATAGCCAGAAGCGCTTTCATTCAAGTACTTGGGTAGAGTGTTTTGCCCCAAGTCATTAAGCAGTTCCGCATCCAATCCTCACTGTTTTATTTGTCCAACAATCTGACTAGTCAGGGGTTTACAGTAGTGCTGGACGGTATGAGCAAAAATTTATATCACGGTATTTTTCAAAATTATACCGGTTTCACGGTACATAGCGGTATTTTTTTTCATCCATGACCGGGTGTGTTAACCATATTTTCTACTGATTGAGAGAGGAAATACTGCAGTATATTGACTTAGAATGCCCTATATTACTGTCATGATGAGTGAATATTGTCAAAAAATACCACACTAAATAGTGACTAAACACAACCCCTTTTAATGTTAACCAGGAGTCACTCTCATTTATAATCGCGGCATCGTCTGATAAAATCAACATGCATCTACACTAAAGAGCGGTTGTTTTGGCTATATTACTTTTTTGTCTCATGCGGCGCACTGCCTACGTCCGAGTAACAAACTAAAAAAACAACAAACAAAAAAGTGCATGTGATATTAACAGACGAACTACGCTCATATTTAGAATTCCAAACAATCAGTAAGCGACAGGTGCTAGGAAACGCTGTTTTGTACTCATTTATTGACGAGTCAGCTGCGGAGCGGTCAACTGAATGCGCTGCTTCTCTGCCGCTCACTACACAGAACAGACGCCGAGAGAGGCGACTCTTCTCCGGGAAAGTCAGACTTCACGGGACAGCACTGGCACATAGCTAAGGTTTATCCCAAAAAGTCGCTAGGTTTGTCAGTATGAATATTCTATGGGAAAAAACGCTAAAAGGGTCTGAAATTTGCTAAATCTAGTGCTAAAGTCGCGCTCGTGT